AATTTGCTGCGAAAATCTGGATTGGTGTAGTAACCGATGGGCAGCTTTAGAGCACATTCACATGTGTGGGATTGTGGTCTGCGGAGGAAATCTGTGGTTTCTATTAACTGAATTAGTAGGGCCTTATCCAAGAGATCGGATTCTTTACAGAACCGCAGGAAAAGCTGAAGACTGTTGAAATCAATTTCCCCAATGTACCTTTTCAGGTAACGAGAAACTGTTGACTGGGCTGCTGTCATCTCCTCTGGAAAGTTTAGAAGCTCCTTCACTGTTTTTGCTGTTTTCATTTGTGCAATGAAATGATGCAGTCCTTCCGGTGGTAGTAAACCAGCTACAGAACCCACAACAGGACGCCATCACTTAATTACAAACATTGGGGCCTGAATGATTACGTTTTGTCCAATCTGTGCCAAAACAGGAAGCAGTGTGCCCTTGGTCGGGACTTGCTTGTGTAACTCTTGCCTACCTAGGTAGGCTCTGTGGTCTAGAGGTCCCCCTCTAAACCGACTTTTTTCTTGTCTTTTGACTTTTGAGCACTCACAGTGGCTAGTGAAAGCTCTCTTGGAGGCGCTGTCGGAAGCTCTTGACATAATCTGAGTGAGTCTGATGATCTCCAGTGTCAGGACTGATCCCTAGAATGAATTCGACAGGAAGCCTTGGCTGTCTCCCGAACATCAATTCATATGGAGAGTAACCAGTGTATCGTTCCTTGTGCAGTTATAAGCGTGGACTAGCGGTTTGGCGAAGTCTCTCCAGTGATGTTTCTCTTTATCTTCCAAAGTTCCCAACAGTAGCGTTCTGTTAAACCACTCAACCAGGTTTCCCCGTGGGTGGTATAGGGTTGTTTGGACTTTAGCTGCTCCCATGACTGCAAAAAGTTGTTCTGGACTCCAAATCCCAACCTTGATCATTCAACAGATGACTGGGGAAACCGCAGTGGACGATAAAACTCTCCCACAAGGCCTTGGCTATGGTCTTTTCTTTTTGATCTCTTGTTGGTATTGCTACTGCGAACTTCGTGAAGTGGTCAGTGATTACCAGTATGTTCCATGTGTCACGAATGTCTGGTTCTAGAGACAAGTAGTCCATACAGATGAGCTGTGTGAGAGGATGTGTGTGCACACACACACACCTTCTCACACGCGCACACACACACCCGTTGTGTGTTTTCGTTGTTTTAGTTGTTCTCGATGTTGTGTCCCGGGTCCTTTCTCCGACTCTCGTTCTCCTGCCAGGCCCATCACGCTACTGTTTTTTGAAGGGGAGAGTGATTAGCCAACTGATTCCAGGTGTGCTAATCACCTCCCCTGGCACTGCTTCCCTGAGCCTTCCCCACACCTCCCCTCTTGCAGCTGAGCACCACGTCCCCTCCACAACATACAAAGGCTGTCTTGTACTTATCCTCTTCAACCACCTCAACTTCATAGTATCCAGACTTGAAGTCCATCACTGAAAACCACTTAGCTCTATTTAGCGCAGTGAGGGTCTCTTCAATATTCGGGAGAGCGTATTCATCTTTAATGGTGCGGGTGTGACCTATGTGGTTCTGGTGGCTTCTCTTCGGGTGGCAATGAATGACAGGAGCTCAAGCTGGCATCAGTTGTTGTCTTTATTTCACCGTCTGTATTTCACACATGGGCATCGAGGTAAAGTCAGTCTTTAGCATAAAACACGCTCCTCGACAGTGATCCTCATGGCTCTGAGGATTACCCATAATCCAGTAATCAAAATAAAATCATTCAAAATTAGTGATCGTATAGTGGATTTAGTTTACCTAAAGGAACAACCAGCGGGTGTCATTTTTTAAAGAAAGTAAAGCAATTAACTAAAATACTCTGAAAAATAAAATAAAATGCTGACATTTTATTTACTGAATGCCATTTTTATATTTTAGTTTATAAAAACTTGTATCTTTGAAATAATCCAAAAACATAAATGAACCATATCTTCATATAAAACTGTTAAAATAAAACTCAGCCTTATATTAACCATCTGCTACAAGATTTAGTAAAACATACCTGTATTTCACACATGGGCATCGAGGTAAAGTCAGTCTTTAGCATAAAACACGCTCCTGCAAAGGGGGAGCCACAATGTTAGCATGGGAAACTCCCGCTACACTTTCTCACAAACTAAACATTTCTAAAACGCAACAAAAACAATATAATAGCAAAACAGTGTGACCTACATAAAATATATTTCAATAATATGCAAAAACGAAAACCATAAACATATTTTATAAATAATATTTCTTTATAACATTGCGGAGACACGTTACCTTGACAGTGATCCTCGTGGCTCTGAGGATTACCCATAATACCCTGCTCTTCCTAGGGTGAATGTATTACTTCGTTGAACCAGCAGATGGTGCATTTTAGCAGGATTTAACCTGAACCATTTTAACTATGTTACAAGGGCATTCAGTTTTCTGTAGTCGACGCATGGTTGGATAGTCCCATTTTTTTTCCGTACAACTACTATTGGAGAAGCGAATTGGCTTTGCGACTCTTTGATTATCTCTGCATCAAGTAACTCCCACAGATGTTGCATTACGGCTTCTCTGTCACACGGATGGATGGGTTTTGATCTTTCTTTAAAGGGAGTATTATCCTGCAGTCTAATGTTATGCTTTACTGCAGTCGTGTGGCCGTACGTCAGAAATGCTGTTGGGTTCCTCTGTGACACGTCTATTCCACTGTTCAGTGATTGGTTAATTTTCAAGATCAAAACTGAGCGTTCCAGAAGAGGATTCAGGCAGACTAGGAGTATGTCTGTTAGAGTCAAGTGGTTTGACACACTGAGCAGCTGATATCTGAGCAAGGACACTCTGGTGATGAAGTATGATATCATAATCACTCATATTACGCAGGACGATGGGGATTTTACAGCTAGCTTCAGACGGGACATTCACAAGAGCGGACTCAAGAAATATTCCACCTGGCAATGGATAGTGTTCATGTGGCTCAAGTAAAAGTCAGTGGGATGAGTAGTCTTCCTTACTCTCACAATGCCAGTGGTGCATGGTTTCTGCTGAGCGGGTATGGTGAGGGCTCTCCGTCCTTGCAATTTCACAGTGTGTTGGCGATTTGTGGCCTTGTGGCCTGGGCAATATGCTGGAAAAGTTTTGCATATCCAATATCACAGTGAGCACGGAAAAGGGGTTGTGAGGCCATCACGTCCAATGCCATGTTGGTAAAGTCAGTCAAGGACGTTGGTCCCAATCAAGAAGGGAATCTTGCTGTTCAAGTGGTGTTCTGGAATAACAAGCGCTAGAGCCATCAGGTCTTGCTTCTTACCAGTTATGGTCCAGGGGAAAGAGGTGCTCACTTCAATATAGCCCAAGTAAGGGACATTCTGGCCTCCTGCACCTTCAACTTCTAGAAGAGCATGGATTTGTTGAATGGCAAGAGAAGACAGGAAATTCTTGTGAAAAGACTAGATATGGTAGTAACTTGCGAACCAGTGTCCAAGATGGATTCACATGGCAACCCTTCTATGAAAACTGATGCTGCACATCGAGGGCCTCTAAGTCCTGAGGGTAATGGTGGAATGATGTGGTAGCTTGCTTCACATCTTTTCTCTGTAGTGACTTTACCGTCTGCAGTGGTGGGACTTAAGCAACTTGAACTCTCAGCTCCAGGCTGGCTCACCACTTGTTATGTAACTCTTGCCTACCTAGGTAGGCTCTGGTGTCTAATAACTAATAAATCTTTTTAATGTCAGGTCTGCTTGTCTATTCATAAGGGTTGTACAGGAGGACTGCGGTAGTGAATACTATTTCCTGTATTGAGTTGCCTCTACCCACAATGACACACACACACCAATCAGGTTGTCGCAAAAGATTTTATATTATAGAAAAAAAGTCATGTCAATGCATATCAGTTCTGTGTGTATCAGTGCATATCACTACATATTAGTATGTATAAAAATTAAAAAAAGGGGTGTTGTCGTGCAAAACCAACTGAAATCTTGTGTATCAGAAATACAAGCTTATCAGACTATATTATGTACTTCTAAAACTATTGTCCAATCAGAAATGTATAATATGAAAAATCAATACAGATTAAATAAATTCACTCTTAACAACAAGTGAGACCAATGCAGATCAAAATCTGCGCAGCTGCATGGAACAGGTAGTATAGCATGAAATTTAAATTCAGACCATTAACAAAAATAAATAACCCATGTTGATCCAACAACCAAAAAGGTTAAAAAATGTTCATTGTGTGCCCTTTATAGGGCACTCAATTAAATACTTTAAAATAAAAAAATCAACCTTAGAGTGTTATTGGACAACATAATATGACTTTATTATATTTGTGACATTTTTCCAATTTTTTTAATTTCATGTAGAAAACCGAGGTCAATGAAGTTACCATATTTGGTAACTTGCCCTTGAGCGGTAAAAATATCAAGGCCAATGAAGTTATCATTTTTGGTTACTTGCCTCTAAGTGGGAAAACAAATTCCAATAAGGATACATAGATAAAAATACAGGAAAAACACATTATGTATTTGAACATTTGAACATCACTTTTAGAACATAAAAGCTCTAATAACAAAACGTGCTGATAACAAAGGTGCTCAACAGACCCTCACACACCTGTGTGTGAGGCTTTGAGGAACACAAGTGTCTGTGTTTGTCTCTCTTTGTAGCTGCCTCTGTCTGTCCATCCAGCCATGAGACATTAGTCCACTTTCCATGGTACTTGACAAAGCAGTTACGTTCACTGTTCATGCAGAGGTGCACCTCGCAGACCACATTTGACCTCATAATGTTGCCTTTCCTGCTGCAGTGCTTGCAGGTCTGGCATTCGCCATGTATAGGGGCATGGATGAGGGACATACCAAACCGCACAGCCACATGTGGGGTGTGGCTGCGGTGTCCCCGGACAGGCTATGGGACATCAGCACTGAAGGTCAGGCATTCAACAGAGAAAGATGAGCTTCTTCTGGAGCTAGGCGTGACTGGCCCTCTAGTTGCTGGCATCCCTGAACACCTAGAGTCTGAAATCTTTCAGAGGCTTGTACACCACCCAGGCATTTGTAAGGCTGACATCAATGACGTATGCAAACAGTCCCAGGTACCTCCTCTTTGACTTCATGGGGAGTACCTGATGACTCTTATCAATGCCCCCCAGGTTGGCATTATAACTCCTGATGACAGCTGGACAGCTCACAGGCTCCCTCTTCTTACTCTCACTGCAGTACCTGATGACTGTGGACATCGGCCCCACCCCCATGTCGGTTGACAGAAGAATGACCGTTTTGTTGTCCTTCCCACTGACAGCCAGTATCCCATCATCACTGGCGACGTAGTAACAGGTACCACGAGGGACAGCCTTTTTCTCCATCTCCTTGATTGTCCCGTCAACATTTTTATCGTGTTCATCCAGAGAAAAGCAAGTTTTTGGAGACAGAAATTCAGTATTTGCTGGACAACGGCCTGGCTAAACCATCTTGTTCCAGTTGGGCCTCACCATGTTTGTTGGTTAAAAAACCTGATGGTACTTATAGATTCTGTACTGATTACAGGAAATTGAACAGCATTACAAAACCTGACTCCGACCCACTTCCTCGGATGGAAGATTGCGTTGATCGTGTTGGAACAGCGAAGTATGTGAGTAAATTTGATTTGGTCAAAGGTTACTATCAAGTACCTTTGTCTGCGCGAGCCCAAAAGGTTTCTTCCTTTATTGTACCATCTGGATTATACTCTTACACTGTAATGAGTTTTGGTCTTAGGAATGCACCTGCCACTTTCCAGCGGTTGATGAATCAAGTAGTGGCTGGGTTGGAAGGTTGTGCTGTCTACTTGGATGATGTCGTGGTCTACAGTGAGATTTGGGCTGAACACATACAACGCATTCAGAAATAGTTTCAGCGTCTTCAGGATGCTCATTTAACTGTGAACTTAGCAAAATGTGAGTTTGCAAGAGCTACAGTGATTTATTTGGGAAAAGTTGTTGGGCAAGGACAAGTAAAACCAGTAACAGTTAAAGTCCAAGCCATTGATAGCTTCCCTCTTCCTACCTCAAAGAAGGAGCTGATGAGGTTTTGGGGTATGGTGGGTTACTATAGAAACTTCTGTCAGAATTTTTCTACTGTAGTTGCTCCATTAACCGATCTATTAAAAGCTAAAGTCCAGTTTAAGTGGTCTTCAGCCTGTCAGAAGGCTTTTGAAAACATCAAGTTTCTCTTAAGCACTGCACATGTTTTGTCTGCACCAAGATTAGATCGGCCATTCCAAGTACAGGTTGACGCAAGTCAAGTGGGTGCGGGAGCCATTTTGTTGCAGACTGAGGAAGGTATTGACCATCCAGTCTGTTTCTTTTCTAGGAAGTTTAATCAACATCAGCTTAATTATTCAACCATTGAGAAAGAGGCCTTGGCTCATATTTGGGCACTGCAGCACTTTGATGTGTATGTGGACAGGGGTGCGTTTCCTGTTGTGGTGTATTCAGATCATAACCCTTTGACCTTTTTGCACTCCTTACAGAGTCCAAATCAGCGGTTGATGCGATGGGCCTTATTTCTGCAACCTTACAACCTTGACATTCGGCATATTCGAGGCACTGACAACGTACTGGCTGATGCATTGTCTCGTGCCATTGATGGACCAGAATAACAAGAAAGATGGTTACAGAGGTCCTTGTTGGGATTCTCTGTTTAAAGGGGGGAGGTGTTACGGCTGCAGTGGGTCTCTGCTTTTTCTCCTTTTAGGGTCCTGGAGGCAGGCCTTCTGCAGGTGTTATGTTTTTTCCCTGATTGTGTCAGGGGGCTGGGGTTTAGGGAGGACTCAGGCGCAGAGAGGTGGTTAGATCCAAAAAGGTTTATTGAACAAAAATCGCACTCAACGAGTGGAGACAAAGTACCAAAACAAACAAGACTATGAACAAAGTATCAAAATATAATCACTCTTACGAGGAAGACAAGGGCTGAGAACAAAGTATCAAAACAACATGACTATGGGCAAGGTACAAAGTAACAAAGAAATACTCACTAGGAAACTGTAACTGTGATCGAGACAAGAACTGTGGTCGTGGAACTCAATACACCGGCACGGGACAAGGGGAGACGAGGACTATTTAAACACATGAGGGAAGGGATCCCCAGGTGCAGACAATAGGTAATCAAGGAGACAGACTGGGAACACAACAGGAAGTGCAAGTGACCTGAAACAAGGTGATGCATCTTTCAAAATAAAACAGGAAATGACAAGACAACATGGAGACAAGACCAAAAACACCAACATTTCCCCCAGGTGTGACAGATTGGTGCTCTGCTGCTTTAAAAGCTGTTATGCTGCAGCAGTCAGGGGGCTTTTTCCTCCTCTCCCTCCTCAGAACCCTAGTTGGTTTGGTTTGGACCTTATGATTGAGTTTTGGTAATCCCTTTTCAGGTTTAATTAATATAATTTAATACATTTCATTTTTCATTAACTCAGAAAATCCTTGTGTGGTCTCCATTAATGTTACCCCACCAAACGAACCAGGTGGACGTAACAAACATAAGGTACCAAAATAAGGCTTTAGTAAGTTTACATGGCACAGTTGAGTTGGTCGCTTACGGTCTGTGGTAGAAACCACGTAGTCTTGTTCAGACACCTGTCTCAACACAAAATATGGACCGTAAAACTTTGCCTGAAATGGTGAACCCTGAATGGGAAGTAAGGCAAGCACCTTGTCTGCTGGGTGAAACACTCTTATTTCTGGTCAAACCATCGTTTCATTTTTTTCTGAGCCTTTTTAAGATTCTCAGAGGCTTGTTTGCCAGCCAAGAAAAGTCTGCGACGAAATTTATTAATGTAGTCAAACAAGTTTAATGGTGGATCAGAACTCTCCAAGTTCGATTTTAGAATAGCGAGAGGACCACGCACCTGATTTCCAAACCATTTTCACATGGCGACTCAATAAAGTCTTCAACAACTTCATCCATGCTTACCAATTACCAAAGAGAGACAAATAAAAGCTTACGTGACAACTTACTAATGCGCAACTACAAGGCTCCGACAACAGCCACAAGACAAAGTGTTCCTGCTAACTACCTAGCCCAAAAAACTTACAAACTCATCCCTAGTCTTCGTGAGGCGTAGCGGTGGGTTTTTATGCATTTATAAACCAGTGGCACGGTAAAGGTGACCAGCACGCCGGCAACCCTTCGAAACAACGGAACGCTCCCGAGCCGGTGAAGGGAAAGGGGAGAAGGGAAGCTCTACCCGCCGTACCTCCACACTAGAGAGTAGTAACGCGGTGAATCACCTGTTGGGAAACGCCGCTAAAGCCTACAAGGGAACACCTGTCCAAATGTCAACGTAGTGAACATTAAAAGCCGACACTTACCTTCTATGTCCTCTCACAAACAAGCGATCGCCGCCAAAACCACGGAAATAAAGTCCCGCTCCTGCACGAAACTATTTTACCTACCGGCGTGTCTCCCCAAGAGCGCACAACTATCCAATTAAGGACAATGACGTCACGGGCTTTCCCCGCAACCGCCAATCAAAACACTGACAACTCAGTTCAAAGGCCCGAAGCCGACAAGCTACAAGAGTCATCCAAGCGCCCACAAACAATACCGTCATATATTTTAGAACCACGGTAAAGACTAAATACAATAACCAAATCAACCAAACCCTTAGGAACGAGCCCCCAATTTGTTAAGATTGGGGGCCAAGGCACTTGAAGCACCAATATACCGCTGGCAGCAAATGCTTCCAGGCCAAAACCTGTCAGGCAGCAAACCACGGCGGTGCCCTCAGCCCAGAGTCCAGCCCAAAAATAACAAACTAAAACAATAAACAGGGTCGTCTAAAATGGAGTTGCCAAACGACAAACACCAGATAGCACTTACCTGACACAAAACAAAGAGACTTCTCTCTCCCCCCCTCTAACAAAAGAGCAAAAATCCTCATGGATCTCCAACAACAGACATATGGAACACGAAAAATGTCCAAAATCTAGTAAGGTTCCAAAGACCATAAAGTTGCCCAAAAACCCACAAACAACCTGCAACACACGAAAACCTAAATCAGGGGCATGTAACTGCAACCCGAAGACCAACAATGAGGCAAATTAAGCATAATTAGTCCATATGAATCGGACAAGCCCCCACAATGTTACGTCCACCTGGCTCGTTTGGTGGGGTAACATTAATGGAGACCACACAAGGATTTTCTGAGTTAATGAAAATGAAATTTATTAAATCATATTAAGTAAAACCTGAAAAGGGATTACCAAAACTCAATCATAAGGTCCAAACCAAACCAACTGGGGTTCTGAGGAGGGAGAGGAGGAAAAATCCCCCTGACTGCTGCAGCATAACAGCTTTTAAAGCAGCAGAGCACCAATCAGGGAAAAAACATAACACCTGCAGAAGGCCTGCCTCCAGGACCCTAAAAGGAGAAAAAGCAGAGACCCACTGCAGCCGTAACAGGAGGCTTTACAATTCTGTTGTCCCTGGCTGTCCCTGTGTACCTACAGTTGTGGTCTCAGAGGTACCGCACTAGCTCCAGGCTGGTGAAAAAGTTATAAGCATAGATGGCTGTGGTGGTGGGGAAGGACATGGTACTGGCAAGGACAGATACAATCCGGCTGGTGGCACCTAAGCCTTCTTGTTCAGGTTTCAGGGGAACATCATGGGCCTCCAGGGTAGTCTTGCCATGGTATAGCACCATGTCATGGATGAATCAATCCTCAGATGCCCTGGCAAACAACTTGAAACCCCACTTGTCTGGCTTGCTGTTGATGTATTGCCTCAGGTTGCCAGCTTTCTTCCCTTTGTAGGCAACCATCACTTCATCTACATACTCTTTTGGGGTCTGTGACTCACGTCTAAAGGCAGTATTTATTAAGCTGAACTGTGGTCGGAACAGCCATCAGACCG